CGTGTCTGTATGGCAAAAGATACCATGAGTTGCAAATAATTTCTCTGAGTAAGTGCTTTCTTTTGGCCTTATTTACAGTCCCATTCATCACATAAAAAATTATAACTTTTATTTGCTTAAGTACATCCATTTTCCATAACTTTCCACTTAAAAAAGTTTTCTTACATGTTTCTAACTTTTTAAAATTGAGATCTAAAAAATTCACCTGGAATTAATTTTTGCATGTAAATGTGAGATAGAGCCTTAACTTTATTTTTGCCCCAAATGGATAGCCAAGTGGTACCTGTTGAATTACCCACCCCTCCTGGAGAATTTGAAGCGCCATATACACCATTTATTACGTAACCATATGCAGTTGGATCTGTTTCTAGAAACTCTGTTTCATTTCACTGGCTTATTCGTTTATTTCAGAAGACAGAAAAAATGGAGAATGTCTCAATTCCTATCTTTTAAAGCGAGCCTTTCTCTAATATCAAAGGGAAAAACTAGAGCCATATTTCACTCATGAATATAAATGCAAAAATTAGGGGAAAAAATTAGCAATTCCAAACGAGAGAGATTATACCAGAAACATAAGTATGGATCCACAGGACAGCAGTTTATTAATTCTATTAGTGCTAAGTTCAAGTAGAAAAGCTATTATGTCAATAGGCTGAATGTGCATTTCACAACATAGCAGACTAGTCTTTCTACACACTCTAGAGACCAATAAAGACCCTTCTCAGACACTTCTTTTGTGACAGGAACGGTCATAAAACACCAAATCAAGAATGAGACAGGCTGCCCAATACTAGCATTATTATTCAACACTGCTTTGGAGATATTAGGTAATAAAAATAAGGCAAAATTTAAAGAAACAATATGCTTATTAGAAAAAAAGAAATTAATTCTTGGCCAACCTAAAAACCAAAAAAAAAAAGAACTATTAGGATTAAAGAGTTTAGGAAGCTAGTTATGTGTATTTGAAAATCAACAGCTTTTTAAAAATATCAGTCATGAACTGTAAGAAAAGGAAATGGGTTTTTAAAAGTCCACTCCCATTCATAACAAAACCACAAAATACATGGAAGTAAATTTAACAACGAAGTTAAAGATCTTTATGAAGAAAGTGCAATATTTTAGTAAAGAACACAGAAGAAGACCTGCTTGAATGTCCCCTGTTAGGAATTCAACATCATAAACATTTCAGATCCTACCTAAGTTAACATATAGTTACTGCAGGACTTCTGTAGACCTGATCTCAATGAATCTGATTTGCTCGTGTAGAAAATGATTTGCCAACACTTTTTTTTTTTTGGACAGTGATGCCTTGCTAGATATTAAAACTTTCTCCAAGGGGACTGCAAACAAAATATTATGGGACTGACACCACATTTTTATCAGTAAATGGGAAAACAGTGTACTCAGATATCCTGATGTTATCTGAATCTGCAGTTTATTTTTTTAAAACCTCTTTAGGAGGCGTGGTAATTCAATGTGAACTGTGGGAAATAAATATGAAATAATGAAATTGTTAAAAAAAAAAGACCAGATTATGGCAAAGATGATCTGGATTGAATGGTACCACGTTAATATGTATGATTAATCAGATTAGTATTAATACGTACACTAACGAGGCTAGCCTATACAAATATGTTTAAGAGCTGAGAAAGGGCTTGGCTATTGGACGTAGCTATGATTAAATCCTTATTGGGATACACTACTTTCTCAGGATTAAAGACTGCATTTAGACTCCACTACCTTCAGTTTGACCTGTAGTGGACTAGTGTTATCACTGCATTTTCTGTAAAGGAAGGACTGGCTTCACTTATTAACTCAATAACACATCTGCTAAGTAGCTATTAAGGGCCAGCCCGAACCCTGCCCCCAGGGCAGCCTGTAGTCTGGTTAGAAGAAGAAACAGTTTTACACGCCTCTCCTACACTAACTGAAAGCAAGTAGATGCTACACCAACCGGATTTTATCAGCCCCTTTAAGCTGTCCACATAGTTTTACCATTAACTATTTCCATACTTGGTACTTGAAAGAAATACATCTCTTAAAACAGAAACTCTGGTATCCAAAATTCTCATTTAATATGAGCCTTTCCTGCAACTCAGTCCAAATAAAATTAAATCTTCCTGTTAGATCACTCAAATATTTGTCCATGTAGTGATTTTAAATTAAGTAAAAACAAAAGAAAAAAAAATCCCAAACTTGAATAGTCACTAGATAACGAAGAGCAATTAGCAGGAAGTAACAGATAATAGAGGTGGGAAGACACTGACTAACCATAGCATTTGGAACTGTCTGTTGAAAAGGAGAGGAAGGCAGTAATAAGGGTAAGTTGTATCAAGAACAACACGGGGGAAAGCAAAGCTCTGTAAAATAAAGGATTGAAAGCATCGCATTTACCTCTTTCACTAGTAAATTTTCTGCTTTGTGCTCTGCATCTTCCGGGACTGTTGAGTACAATGTTCGGATGTCCCAAGAAACCGTGGCAGTCTGAGAAGAATAAAGAAAGGAAATTAAGCTTCCAGCTTAAAAGCGCTGAGCAGACCCCTACACCGAAGACACAATAAAGAAGTGCATTCGACCTCAGCACTTAAGGGTAAGAGAAGACAAAGAAACCTCCATAGTTCTCCCCAACGTAATCCCTAGGAGCGGAGAGGCAACCCTGCCTTTGATTAACACGACAAGCATTATAGTTCCCCTTATCCGTGGTTTCAGTTACCCATGTTTAACCAGGGTCCAAAAATATTAAATGGAAACTTCCAGAAATACACAACTCATCAATTTAAAATTATGTGCTGTCCTGAGGAGTATGATGAAATCTCGAGTCATTCCACTTGGCCTGCCCCCTACACCGTCCCGTATCATCCGCATCCTCAGGACTCGAAGATCCAGGATCACTGGTAGCAGATGGTCCTCCTTCTGATGTCTTGTCAGAAGGTCAGTTGTAGCCCAGTACTGCGCCACCACATCGTTCACCTCACTTCATCTCATCCCGCAGGCTTTTCATCACCTCACATCATTACGGGAAGAAGGGCGAGCACAGCGTGGGGTATTTTGAGCAAGGCCACCTGCACATAACTTCTATTACTGTATATCACTATAATTGTTCATTTTATTATTAGATATTGTTAATCTTTTACGATACCTAATTTACAAGTTAAACTTCATTATGGGTATGTGTATATAGGAAAAAATACAGTGCATATAGAGTTCTGTACTATCCGTAATTTCAGGCACCCATTGGGGGTCTTGGAACACATCCCCGGTGTATAAGGGAGGATTATGATGTTACAGTTACTGTTTTATCTGTGAAGCTTATAATTTTAAGCTGTTTCCTCCCGCGAAGAAAACAAAATTTGGACATCTTTATATTTTGACTAGTTTATTTCTATTGTTATCTTTTGTTGTTATTAAAGCTCAAATAAACCTGAAATGAAAAAGAAACTTACAAAATCGGCATTATTTTAATCCTACTATAAATAATCTCTTGAATATTCACAGGGTAAATTTAGCCCCTTCCAGAAGCTGTGTGTGTGGGGGCCCCAACTGGGGTGGGAGAAAAGAAAGGGTGTTCAGTAAATCTAGATCTTGCAGAAGTTAAGTCATTTTATTTTTTTGGTGTCTTTACTTTCATTGGAATAAATTAAACATTTTCAACTCCAATGCTAAACAAACAACTTTATATTAAATAAATACACATTAACTAAAAGTATAAAATGTCTCTTAAAATAAAATCTTTGAAAGAGAATTCACAAGTTGTCTCCTCTGTATATAGGATGCCATAAAACAGTTAACTTTCCATCACTAGCCCCCAGCTTCCTCTAGTCTGTACTCCTTGGTGATTACCGGGCTGCTGGCATGGTGAGTTTGTCAACATACATGGTACCAACAGTTGGGCTCTTTTATTGTTTACACCCCCACACCCACAAATGTTTCATCACTGTTTCTAAAGCACCAAATAGGGTTCATTTGAGCTGTTCTAAATGAAGGGCATTTCTTCTAGACTAATTAAAAGAACAAATGAGAATCTCAAAAACCATCCTTACTTCTGGAGAAGACAGGGAGGAGAAGGGTCCAGGGAATTCAGTTTTCGGAGTTCACAGCTGAGGCTGCGAGCTCTGCCACCAAGGGCGGCATTATTCCTTTCCCTCCAATTCTAGACTCAGATTTTCTTCAAATCCCCCTTTTCCTTCACTCTGGATATATGCTCCCTGAGGGAAATCAGTTTGGTCTGTTTTGTTCATCGCTCTAACCTCAGCGCCTGGTTGGGTGCTCAAGTACTTATTTGTTGAGTGTGTTGCGTGTGTTTGGTGCGTGTGATATGTGTCCACGTAAGCATGTGTGATTGGGTGTAGTGTATGAGTGTGTCCATGTGAGTACGGTGAGTGTGATTATACATGAAAGTGTGCTGTATTTGATTGCAAATACGTATGTGTGTGGTGAGCGTATGTGTGTATGTGTAGCTGTATACGTGAGTGGGTGTGGTGTGTGAGGGTGTGCATGCATGCATGTATGTGCATATGGGGGAAATGGGATTTGGACACTGTGAAGGAGGTAGAATGTCACGTGACTCCAGTGAGATCAGAGGATAAATAATGAAAGAACGATATTCAAGACACAGCCTATGGCAAAAATAAATGCTCATCTTGAAACACAGATAGGGAGTCCCTCAGTCAGTGCATTTGCCCCAGGACTTGACTGCAGTTGTGAACAGAGTTTGGAAGTGCTAAGGTCAAGTGAAGACACACGCACAAGGAACCATTGCTTCTCAAGTGAAGCATGATGGGGCCAATTAAGGATTTATTACTATTTAGATTTTACATTTTTGATTCCTTTTGAATTTTCTCTTTTAAGTTGCTTCTTTCATGTTATTTACTCAAAGATAAACAGTAACTAGATTCTACTGAAAGTTGGATTAGAAGACTAAAACCCATGCCTAAATTGAGCCTCGGGGATTATTGCTGGATTTCAATGATCTGGGGACGGTATTTCCTGTTTGGAGAGAGAATTTTCAGATACAGTGTAACTTGATTGCTTTCCAGGGAATATTACATATTGTAATCTACTGGCAAGATTAAAGATTTCTTTTCTCTAATTCAAAAAATCTTCTGTATCTCAGTCAATATTTTATAAAATACAAATTTTTATATAAAAAGCAAAAGATTTCTCCTTTTTATTATCAGTCTACAGCCATACCACCCTGAATGCACCCAATCTTGTCTACTTATATATAGTTTATTGATTTCTTGCCTTTAAAAAAATAACAGCTGCTCTAAAATAATCTAAGTCTGATGGAGAGTAAAGAGGCCCAACGTTTAGCTTCCTGTTTAGTTATACCATAAACCTACTGTCCCACTAAGATCAGTACCCTCGGGTATAATACAATAGAGTGAACACCGAGCTGGATTAAGAAGGTGTTTTTTTTTTTTTTTCTTAATGGTAAGTTTCTGGAAGGTGGGCTCAGGTTTCCAGTAATAAGAATCATATGATTACTTCATTTGTGATGTCATAAAGATCAGGGCCCCAAATACCTAGGCTAATGCTCATACACGATGTACGGGATTGGAAATCCATTCAGGTTGGGGGGATAAAAATTAATCGTATGTACAATGGTGATGTGTGATTCTTGATGGCTTCTAGTTATAACATGATGTTGATTTTTTACTAAATAAGGCAGCTGGGGCTGAATCACCCTCATGCAACCATACGATAAATCTAAAACAGTATTTTACCACACGCATGGGGTCACAGCACATCTAATACTTTGCACAGAGCACACGAGATACAAGAAAAGGATTACATGTATAATGAACGCCTGTGACGAGCGACTGACCTTGGTTACAGTTTGTTGCAATGCTGAAGTTGCCTGAAAAGGCAGAAGGCCTTCATAAAATTTCAACTTTAAAAATTGCAGCTCTTCTACTCGTTTTTCATTTCTTTTCCCATTTTTTAACTCAAGTACAGTCGATGTACAACAGTATTACATAAGTTACAGGCGTACAACATAGTGATTCACAATTTTCAAAGGTTATACTGCATGAATAGTTACTACAAAATACTGGCCATATTCCAATACTGTGTTGTACTGTATGTCCCTGTAGCTCATTCATTTTACACATAATAGTCTGTACCTCTTAATCCCCTCCCCCCATCTTGCTCATTTTTTATTTCTTTGAATGTGTCTCTGCTGAAGCAAAAAGAAATTGATCAAATAAGGAGAAAAGTACACAGAGTCATATTGTTAAGGGTATTAATATGGTTACAAAGAATTTCTTTTCTGAGAATTAGATGCTTTCAGACCACTACAAATTGCCTTGGCCACAACAGACTTCCTGTTCTCTTTTATCAGCCCTCGGGTGGACGATTAGCATACCTCATCAGCATGAAACAGATCCGAGGCTGTCCTGGAGCTCAGCCGAGCGCCTCTTCTGGTGGGAGAGTCTTATAAGGGGGTCCGTTGTCCAGAGATTAGGCATTTGGAAATAAAAACTGTCCCTTTATTTAGGAAGGGAGGCACGCAGGCCTGTGTTTGTAGTTTCAGGTCCACGATGTTCAGACGTCTCCCACGACAGCCCCGCCACTTTCTGGCTCCTTCTCCCCTGCGGTCGGTAGTCTTTGTGGCTTTGTCATGGCCACCATTCTGCTGACTAAAACGACTACAGGAGACTTCATTCCAAGCACACAGGGGCCACTTCTCAACTGGCCAAAGGCCGCTGTCAAAGTCTAAAGGAGAAGCTACTTTTCCTATTTGGGGGCTGAGCAAAACTCCCTCTGACATTACTAGATGCCAGCTGCTCCAAAGGGGAAAAAATGATAGCATTTAGGATAACCCGGCTTGAGAAATCTGAGCTTGCGAAGTCAACAGGCCTCGCAAAGGAGCTCTTAACTAACACTTCACGATCAAGTCCAACCTAAGCATGTGTCTGAAAGTGATCTTCACCTAAATGCCTCCTATTAAGACACCAACATTGCCTTTTACTCCAGTAGAGCAGACACTTACACTACATTTGTTGCTTGAAAAACATTTTGACCCCATTCAGAAAAGTATTACGATTTTTCTTGTAAATACGTGAGAATTTCACTTTGCACCTTCATTGCACTCCAAGGGGAAGGTCTTTCTTTTGCTGCAGCTAGGCTGTATGGGGACTGCACGAACAGTGAGTGGGTGCCCATTACTGGGGTGCTGTCACCATCCAGCCAAGTCAAGCGTGGCGACTCCTCCATCATAGGACTAAAGCATAGCATTAGGGAAGTTTGGAGACCTGGTTCAAGGCTTTTTACTCTCCGACTGGCAAAGCACTGAGCAAGTCACTTCACTGCTTTATTCTGTGCTTCATTTTCCAGGCTCTAAAATGTGTCTCCCCTCCTCCAAGGGAGAAGGACACAGCACTCTACATATGGAAAAATGTGAGAATTAGTAGAACACAGTGTACCAACAATATAGAGATACGTACTGCACCAGGACCTCCCCTTGGCAAGGCCTCAGGCTG